CAACCAAAAACTTTCAAATAATCATAAGATGCATCTCTTCCTTTCCAAACCTTCTCAGGAACATCACCATTCAAAGGAACCGAAGGAGAAAGATTTATCAAGTCAACTGTTGTTCTCATTGCCTCCCCACAAAAGGACTTAGGCAACTTTGCATGAGAGAGCATACATCTAATTCTATAATTAATAGTATGGTTCATTCTCTCTACAACACCGTTGTGTTGAGGTGTTTTTGGCACTGTTTTCTCAAACTTGATCCCATGAGTTCTGCAATACTCTGTAAATGGCCCTTTGTATTCACCACCATTATCTGCACGAACACATTTCAACTTCCTTCCAGTTTCCCTCTCAACTACAGCATGAAAATACTTGAAAACATCTAAAGCTTGATATTTAGTTTTCAAACAATAAGCCCAAACTTTTCTAGAATGATCGTCAATAAAGGTAATATAATAGTGAGCACCACCAAGACTCAAAGAGTCCATAGAACAAACATCAGTATGGACCAAATCTAGAACACTTGCTCTTCTAGAAGGAGATAAATTTTTAAATGTGACTCTATGTTGTTTACCTACCAAGCAGTGAGAGCATGACTTTAAGTCAGAAAAATTCAAACCTGGAACATTATGCTTCTTTGAAAGAATCCGCAAACCATTCTAACTCAAGTAACCCAACCGTGTTTGCCAAAGTTCAATGGAAGAGTCTTCAATTGCATTTACCTCTCCCCCACAAGATTTAGCCTCTGTCACATAGAGAGAACTGCACTTGTTTCCCCGAGCTACCACCAAAGACCCTTTAGTGAGCTTCCATTTTCCTTCACCAAAGTAGTTATGATAGCCGTCATCATCAAGCATCCTAGTGGAAATCAAATTAAGGCGAATCTCAGGAACATGCCTCACATTCTTCAAGAGCAATTTGCATGCAGTATTTGTGTTCAGGCATACATCTCCTATACCGACAATTTTGCACTCTTCATCATTCCCCCATCTTCACATGACCAAACTGACCACTAGAATATGAAGAGAAAAACATCACGACGAGAAGTGACATGATACGAAGCACTGGAGTCTACAACCCATTGTGAATCYTGACATGTGAGATTGACACTGCCACCATTGCATATAATACAAACATCATCACTAACTGCAACTGCTACAGTGTTGGCTTCTTCTTTCTTTTCTTCGCCCTTTTCTTTGCTTTGCTCCCTCTTAAGTACTCTGCATTGGAACTTCTTGTGTTCTGGCCTGCTACAGTGATAACACTTAATCTCTTTCCTTGACTTGGATCTTCCTCGAAACCTGTCATTGCTATCACGATTCTTTGGAGTTCTACTTTTGCTTCTCCCTTGCCTTTCAGTAACCAGAACTTGACTTTGCGTTATTAACCCTTGATCTTTTCTTCTATTCTCCTCATTCAACATGCTCTCCTTCACCATTTTCAAAGTGGGTACACCATTTGGAGAAGAGCTTACAAGAGAAACCACAAGAGTATCCCAACTGTCAGGCAAAGAGCTAATCAAACACATAGCATGAATCTCTTCATCTAACTTTATCTCCATAGCAGCCAACTGGTTCAATATCCCTTGAAAAACATTCAAGTGCTCAAAAACAGAAGTTCCATCCTGATATTTCAAACATATAAGCTTTTTGAAAAGAAAAACTTTATTCTGATAATTTCTTTTCTTATATAACTCCTGCAGAATAGTCCACACCATATGGGCATTAGTCTCATTGGCAACATGCTGATACACAGAATTATCCACCCATTACCTGATCTTTCCAACTGCCTTTCTATTTAGTTTTTCCCAGTCTTTACCAGACATACCCTCTGGCTTGCCTTCATCACCTAATATGGTGTCTTCATAGTCATAACAACAGAGCATATCCATCATTCTAGACTTCCATATTGAATAGTTTGACTCAGTGAGTCTAATCATAGTGCCATTGTTGTTACTGGTCGAGTCCTCAATTTAATTATCTGAACGAAACAAAATAATTTTGTTTTCCTCTTTGTGCAATTAAATGGGCATGCAAGTCAAACAATATCAACCAAGTAGAAAAACTATATGCTATAATAAGAACACAATCCACAAATAGAAGACACAAGATTTTAATGTGGAAAACCCTCCAAAACGAAGGGAAAAACCATGGGCAACTAGCCACTTAAAAGCTTCCACTAATAAATCAATGGGATACAACAAAGTTCTTTTCTAGCAGTAAATCTAGAGGCTATCAGTGTCAACTACTCACCCAAAGGTAGATTTCATCACATATCACCAAATAACTCAGAGACAAAAATAAATTTATCCAAAATGATAATAGAGAAGAGGAATAGCAAATCAAACCAGTAGATATGCAACTTGAGGCGCCATCGACTGCATACTAAAATCCCAAGATGATCGGAGAAAGGATCACCACACAGTTTTGTGTTTTTCACCCATGAAAAACCCAAAAAACCTCTTTTCTCCTTTCCCCTCTCATTCTCTTTTTTTTTTCTCTCTCTCTCTCTTCTGTTTTCGGTGGAAAGCTTCACCGAACTGTTCAAATTCACCCCACTTACCGGGCAAGGTTTTATTTGCTCATAGCTGTCTTTGCTACACTTGAGGCTGCTTTTTATGAACCTCTTTGACTTCTACCCCCTTTTTTTTATTATTATTTTAGTGGGCCCTCCACGTGGGAAGGGAGCCCAACCAACACCCTTGATATCAATCATGCTATCCTGAAATTCAGCAAAGGAGACAAAGGCTTTATCAATGACTTTAGTATGGGGTATCGAAATATTTTTTTAAAAACACTCATATTTCTACTTTTCGAGAGTTGCCATAGTAGGAAGAACCTTTCCTCCTCATTTGGTAAGCTCTTAAAAGGGTGCAACCACCAATCTCTAAAGGGCATTTTCTTGCTCGTCCAAACCTTAAATAGTGGGATAAATAATCGACCAATAGCTCTTCGCAAATGAGCAACCTCTGAAAATATGATTCACAACCTTATACAATGAGCTCCATTAACATTAATTTTAAAACTTCCATTCGGTGGTCTGATCCATTTTAGTGGGTTGAAGGATTTCCAACTCCTGTGTCTGAACCAATCAATTGATTATCAGCATTGGATTGATAATCTTCAACCAAAACTGACGATTGAATCCATATTCTTCTTGGGTCAGATTAGTGTTTTCAAAGATTAGGATATAGGTAGGGCCTGTTTGGTGAGTCATTTCAGATGACCTTTTGAGCATTTCAAAGACTATAAGACGAAAAAGTGAAATTTTTTTTTTTCGTTTTGACAACAATAGACAAGAAGACAGAAAAACTTGCATCCCAGAAAGCTCTTAGAAGTCCAAAATGGCCAAAAATTAGGAAGCTTCAAATGAAGCTTTCCGTGTATTTCAGCATCAAAAAATTTTTCTTTTAATAACTCAATAGACTATGATAGATTAGGATACTTACCAAACAGTCTTAATCTTTATAGATGAGACTCCAAAAGGCCAAAAGCTTAATATTCCTAAAAAATTTTCCAAAAAACACCCTAGCCTTCCAAATCAGTCAAAGAATTGTCAAAATTTCTCCAAAGACTGTATCCTTGTGACCATCTATCATCTGGTCAAACCAAGAGCTAAAGCCACTTAATGAAAGAATAGCACATCACACTTACTAAGAAATAGACGTTCTACAGTTTCTACATCCGCTTTACACAGAGAACATTAAGGCTCAATGTTTGGACACGCTGTGATTCTAAAACAGCTCGAGGTAGTAGAACCCCTGACAAATAGCGTCAACCATGCACTATTAGCCTTCTGTAATTTCTATATAAATAGAATGAATTGAAAATTTCCCTGAATTGGTTTTGGTCTACACTATTCTATCTTTATTGTTTAAATGATAGAGGTTCGAGGGTATCCTTTTAATAATTGCTACACAACTACAATTGCATCAGTTTTGGATCAACATTTGAGCAATTGGATCAATCCACTCTAAGAATTTTAAATCATCAAGGCAACTCATACTAGCTAAGTATAGGTGAGAAAGTTGGGAGGGATCCATAGGTCCTTCCAAACATTAATGTCACATCTATTTCTACCAACCCAACATGCTACCGATTGGAGATATTTGGGAACGGTAGTATAAGACAAGCATACTTACAATCCAAGAAGATTAATTTCAAACATACTTTTTCTTCAAAATTTGAGCCCAAAGGTAATAAGCTGCCAAAGCAGAGTTGGAATCTCTTACCAATTTCATCTAACACCACACATCTTACCATGAAACTGGGACTCACTATAAAAGTGAGACCTATCATGAATGAAATGTGTGGTGGTAAATCATGTTGATAGGGTATTGGCACATGTTTTGTTGGTAGGAGATCCGGACTAAGGAAAGCAAATGCCAAACTACTTTAGAAAGTTGTGCCATGTTATTACTCTTGGTGTTCATTATTTAAGACCACCTCTATCCTTTGGCAATGCAAAGCTAGATCACACATGGTTAGAGAGATCGAAACTATGCCCGTATAATAAACTAGGATGACAGATAAAGTAGACTTTATTAAAACTAGGTTACCATTTACCAACCTGAGAAAGAAGGTTTGATTTCCAAATGTTTAGTTTGGATTTCACCTTGTCCACCAGATATTTATGTATCTCCTTACTTCGACTAGCAAAGGGCAGCCCAAATCTAATATCAATGCCATTAAGTGGATAGTGATGAGTAAAGTTTCATAAAAAAATTGGGCAGCCCAAATCTAATATCAATGCCATTAAGTGGATAGTGATGAGTAAAGTTTCATAAAAAAATTGGTATAATACAAAAACTTCCTCTGAAGTTTCTGACAATCATAAAAATCTTCCCTATAGTTTTATTTTATCAAAAACTGTCATTCTATTTTTGAAAAAATTAATAAATACCTCCCTTCCGTCAATGATCAAGATAGAAAATATGTATAATTATATCTTTACCCTTTTATCAATGACACTGTTAAGGCTACCCGTTTAGATCATGCCATATAGGTGAAGTAAAGTTGGGGGTTGAAGTAAACAAATCCCTAGCAAGATTTAATGGTCCAACATTTATAGGATTGAACCGATATTCAGACCATTGATAGAAGATAAGAATACGTGCCAACACCCTTTAACTAGTCCATGGAGGATCTGCACGTCAGTACAACTCTGAAAATTCTCCGGAATCCGACAAGACGTTTAGGCTGTGGTCGGTACAACTCTGCACGTCAGCACATCCCTCATAATTCATAAATAATCGTGTCAATAATCTGCACCATACTTTTTATACCCAGAACAAAGCTAAAACCACCTACTGGCACTGATTGTAAGCGACTCTGATCAGCTCTGCTCTCGGACACAGGCATAGAGCCACCCCACCGTTTCAATGGAAGTCTGGTTCGTCGTTCTCGCTTCTCTCTGCATCTGTGCAGCCCTGAAATTCCTCCTTGAACTCCTCTCACTCAGCTCGAATAAGCCCAGAAAGCTCCCGCCAGGCCCCTTCTCTGTGCCCGTAATAAGCAACTTCTTATGGATTCGGAAACCTTCTTCCGAAATCGAATGTATTCTTCGCCATTTACGCACCAAGTACGGCTCTATCATCAGGCTCAACATCGGCTTTCGCCCAGCCATCTTCATCACCACCCACGAACTTGCCCATAAAGCCCTCATCCAGCACGGCGCCATCTTTGCTGATCGTCCGCCGGCTCTAGGCCCCAACCGTCTCATCAGCAGCAACCAACATAACATCAGCTCCGCTGCATACGGTCCACTCTGGCGTCTCTTCCGCCGGAATCTCACCTCCGAGATCCTCCACCCTTCAAGAATCAAATCTTACAGCCACGCCCGCAAATGGGTCTTGGACATACTGATCAACAGGCTCAGGGAACAGGCCATATCCGGCGAACCAGTTTGTGCGGTAGATCACTTCCAATTCGCAATGTTCTGCTTATTAGTACTTATGTGTTTCGGAGAGAAACTCGATGAAAAGGTTATCAGAGACGTCGAGACTGTTCAGCGGAAGCTCTTGACCAGTTTCAACGGACTTAACATACTTGTTTTTCTGCCCAAATTGGGAAAGATCATATTTCGAAAGAAGTGGAACGAGTTCTATGAGATGCGACGTAGTCAGGAAAGTGTTTTGTTTCCTCTTATACGAGCCCGACGAGAACAAGAGAAGAAGCAAAGCGAGGAAGGGAAGAGTACTGAGATGGTCGTCTGCTACGTCGATACGTTACTCAATCTTCGACTACCTGATGGACGGAAGCTCACGGAGGAGGAGATTATGAGTCTGTGCTCGGAGTTTCTCAACGCAGGCACTGACACAACATTCACCGCGTTACAGTGGATCATGGCGAACTTGGTGAAGCATCCACACATCCAAGAAAAGCTGGTGTCGGAGATTGAAGGGGTGGTGGGGTCCGGAGAAGAAATCAAGGAGGAAGATCTGCAGAAGATGCCATATCTGAAAGCAGTGGTGTTGGAGGGTCTGAGAAGACACCCACCGGGACACTTCGTGCTGCCACACGCAGTAACGGAGGATATCACCCTAGATGGGTATCTTGTGCCAGAGAATGCTACGGTGAATTTCATGGTGGCAGAGATGGGATGGGACCCAAAAGTTTGGGAGGACCCCATGGAGTTCATGCCAGAGAGATTCTTGCCACGTGGCAATGGAGGGGAAGAGTTTGATATAACCGGAACTAGAGAGATTAAGATGATGCCGTTTGGTGCAGGGAGGAGGATATGCCCTGCAGCTGCCATGGCTTTGCTTCACCTGCAGTATTTTGTGGCCAATTTGGTAAGGGAATTTGAATGGACGGTCAGTGATGGAGATGAGGTTGACTTGTCGGAGAAACTAGAGTTCACCATCGTGATGAAGAATCCTCTAAGGGCCCGCATATCACCAAGGAGAGTATAGAGTATATTAATTGTAGTCATATTTGCTATTTTTAGGTATTAATTTTAAGGGAAAGTTTCCGAATGGTACATGTACTTTAGGGATTTAGGCCGACTGCTATCCCAATTTTAAAATGCAACAATTTAGGCCATATTTGATTAGTTACACATAGTCTCATTCTTTTAATTCTTTGAGATTCTGAAAAAAAATGGGCAAGAATGAATGAGATACAGGTGTTTGGATATTCATTTCTTGGGCGGAATGCATTCTTCCCGTAAGAAATTTGGGAATGAACAAGAATGAATGAAATATAGGTGCTTGGATATTCATTTCTTGCTGCAGAATTCATTTTCCAGAATGAAATTTGGGTCTCAGCAAACCCATCCTACTAATTTTTTTTTTTTTAATTCGAACTCGAGTCTTCTCGACTTGAACTCACTGAACCCTCGTCCCTCTCTCTCTCTTCTATACAAGGTAAACCCTCGTCCCTGTCAAGGTAAAACTAATCGACTCTTTCTCTATATGTACAAGGTAACGGTGAGCTCGACCAAGGTAAACTCTCTCTCTCTCTCTCTCTCTCTTTCTCTCTTCGTCTTCTTCTTTTTTCTTTCTCGTCTTCTTCTTCTTCATCTCCTTCTCAAGCTGCGCACGTACAGAAGATGTATATATCCTCCTCCTCCTCCTCCTCCTCCTTCTTCTTCTTCTTCTTCTTCTTCTTCTTCTTACTCTGTTTTTCCCCTTTTAGGTTGACCACCAATATCATCCTTGTTACCATCAAAACGAAGCAACATCGATTAAGGTATTTGAAGTTTTGAACAACTTTATTCTCTTCATTATTTTCCTTATTGGTATTTCTGGTATTTGTGTGTTTGAATTATTATGGAATTTATACATTTTTTAAGTATAAATTGTTGCTGTTCTTTTTCTTATTGCTTTGCTGTTTTCTTTTTTTTTTTTTTTAAGTATAAATTATCGAATTATTTTCCTTATTGCTTTGTTGTTATCGAAGTATAAATCCGACAGTCCGATTGAGGCATTTGATAAAGGCACCCAGATGGTAGGTAGCATTTGAATTGAGGCCTCTGTTAAGCTTCGCCAACTGAAGGGAGAGACCCTACATACTATCCTGCTTGGCTCTGTTTGAGGATTAGAATTTGGGTTTTATCCATGCATCCATGGCTTAGTTAGTATGTAGGGGGCCACCCA